GAAGAAGGGAAGAAGCCCGGGGGTGGGTGGGGGCCTTTCCAGCGAGGAATGTCCAACCGAGAATCGCTCAGTCCGTGCGGGGGGGGGCGGAATAAACGGATCAAAGCCAGACCCTGAACCTAACCAAACGGGGCGCAACGTTTTCGGACGACGGCTTTGGAGAGGGCTGCTTTGCAAAGATTAAAAGAGTCGTGCGAAAGTCCGGCGTGCAAAAGCCCCTGGCTTCCAAGTTCTCCCCGACCGCCTGGCGGCTCAGCTTCAGGGCAGCCCCCCCAACCCCCGTCTCGGCTTCCAAGCTCCAGCTCCGCCCGCGCGCTCTGCCGCCCCTCCAACCTGGCACAGCCCCGCTTTCCGCCTGCCCCCTTTATGCCCTCCCGCCGCCTCGCTGACCTCTCTGCCTGGCTGCTGGGTCACGACCGGGTCACCGAAAGAGTCGGCGCTCTTAAAGCACCCCAGCGCGGACGAGTGTCAAAACAAGCGGCCCGGCAGCCGCTGACGGGTACAGCACCTTGCCCTGTCCTGCCCGGGACTCCTGCGGCAGACTTTAACGTGCGCCGAGGCGCAGCCTCCGCCCTCAGGTTTTTCGTGTTGGGGCTCGACCCCTCCAGCATTCACGGAGCACCAAGAGTGCACTAGAGCATAGGCAGAGTGCCCTTCCTTTAACTCTAGATAGGACAGGACTTGGGGAGGCGGGAGGCGCTCAGGAAACCAATTCTATGCCTTGTGGCTCCAAAGTTACACCACTGGTTGTTGAAAATAAAGGAGAGCTTGACCCTTGTGGAATCAACAGCACACCAGAGAAGCAGAGACACACCTGGATTAGACCATCTAAGGTCCGAGTCTGTACGGAAAATGGAACCAGCAATAGAATTGACTAGTTTGAATTAGGGCCATAATTGTCATATGCTGAGAAGGAGATGAAGAGGAGGAGGAGATTGGATTTATACCCCCACCCTTCACTTGGGAGTCTCAGAGCGGCTTACAAACTCCTTTACCTTCCCCTCCCCACAACAGACACCCTGTGAGGCAAAGTGGGGCTGAGAGAGCTCTGAGAGAAACTGCTCTTTCAAAAACAGCTCTTACAGAACTATGGCTTGCCCAAGACCATCCAGCAGCTGCAAGTGGAGGAGTGGGGAATCAAACCCGGTTCGCCCAGATTAGAGGCTGCGCCACTACACTCAAACTGGCTCCCTAGAGTTAAGAGAAAGGACCTCTATGTCCATAAAGGCAGGTTGCAAAGGGGAAAGGGACAGTAATACATTTTATGTACCTTTGTATTTTGTAATTCCTTTCACTGCTGCCTAGTTTTAATAAATATCAAACCAAAAAGGCAGCCCTCCTCAAAATTCCCCCTCGCCCCACAAGCCTTAGAGTGCCACACTTAGGAGGAGCCAAAAGTCAAAGGGTCGAATCCCCACTCTGCCATGGAAATTTGCGGGGTGACCTTAGCCCACTCTCGGCCCACCCTACCTCACAAGGCTGTTGTGAGGATAAAACAGAGAAAGAGGCAAGACGCTTTACGGAGAAAAGTTGCCAAGGGAAGTAGCTAAGTAAATGCAGGAGGCCTTCAACGGCGGGGCTAAGGATCCAGAGAAGCACCCCCACAGATAACTAGTTCCCCCCACACAATAGTCCCAGTCCTCCAACTAGGGCTTTTGTGCATCTCAGGGGGATGAAGGAAAGGGTGTGATATGAACACGCCTCAGAGGTGGGTCTCCACACAGGCTGTGTGGTCACACACACACACTAAAATTATGCACTTTCAATGCACTTTCCAAGTGGATTTCACTGCGGGAACTGGCAAAATCCAGTTGGAAACAGTGTTCCCTCTAAGCTGAGTTGGTGTGAGCTAGCTCACAGTTTCTAAGCCTCTGGCTCAAACTAATTGATGCAGCAGCCAAATTGCTCTGTCACAACTTTAATGCCAGGAGCTCACAAAGTAGGATTTTTTGCTCACAAGACTCCACAGCTTAGGGGGATCATCGGTTGGGAAGTGGATTGTTTAGTGTGCGTGACCGCAGCCACCCTGGAGCAAGTTTCATTTTGTAAAGAGCAAGGCAGTCGGTCCATCAACAAGGATGTAAAGACCGTGATTTCCACACAAATCCCAAAAGCATGACAATTGGGATGCTGGAAGCAGGAAAAACTCAGTTGCACGGCAGCCTGTTTTGTTTGGAAGCATCTAGCTCTCGTGGTTGGAAGACAATCTGAATGATGCACAGCAAACCCCTGAATTCAGAAGGGGGGCTGAACAGGGGCACGCGACGGACGTTTTGTTTGCGTGCAAAGTTTGCATGCCGCCCCCTTCCACACTTAGCAGACATTTGTTTTCATTAAGCGAGTTCTAGATCATATCAAGCCTGAACTCCCCCAGAAGCTAAAAAGATCGAACCTATTGCACTTTGGTCATGTCATGAAGAAGAAGAAGAGTTTGGATTTATACCCCACCCTTCACTGCCCGAAGGAGTCTCAGAGCGGCTTACAAACTCCTTTCCCTTCCCCTTACAGATAAATTGTCCATTAAGAACACAGTCCCTCTTAGGAAGTCCAAATGCAAAAGAAAACACCCTGACTGCATAGGAAGGCCACAGGGACCCTGACACAGAGAAAATTATAAGTAACGCATGTCCTCTAAGCAACAGGGTTCATTACACATATACAGCTTTATTTGAATTAGAACAACTGGAAATGGTCAGGTGGAACAAGATTAAAGAGAAGAGTCATTGGAAAAGACAATAATGCTAGGAAAAGTTGAAGGTAGCGGGAACAGAGACCCTACATGAGGTGGATTGACTCTGCCTAGGAAGCCTCAGTTTGCAAGACCTGGGCAAAGCTGTTAACAACAGGACATTTTGGAGGACATTAATTCATAGGGTCGCCCTGGGTCAGAAGTGATTTGACAGCACTTAACACACACGCGAAGCAAACTGTAAAAAGGCAAAGGTAAAGGTTCCCTTGCTCAAAAGCCAGTCGGATCCGACTCTAGGGTTGCGGTGCTCATCTCTGTTTCCAAGCCGAAGAGCCAGCGCTGTCCGAAGACGTTTCCGTGGTCATGTGGCCGGCATGACTAAGCACCAAGGCGCACGGAACGCTGTTCCCTTCCCACTGAAGTGGTACCTATTTATCTACTTGCAATTTCTTGCTTTCGAACTGCTAGGTTGGCAGGAGCTGGAACTAGAGACGGGAGCTCACTCCGTCATGCAGCGCACTCGGGTCTCAAACTGCTGAACTACTGACCTTCCACAGCCTGAAGTTCAGCGTCTTAACCACTTGAGCCACCGCAGCTGTGCAAACTGTGCCAGACAGTAAATTCAGGTGGGGTAGCCATGTTGGTCTGAAGCAACAGAATGAAGCCTAAGTCCAGTGGCTTGAGACCAAGTATTCTTCACGGTATTCGCTTCCTTGTGCACGTATCTGGAAACGTGTGCACGCACGTGAAAGCTGATGCCCAGAATTACACTTTGTCGGTCTTAAAGGCGCCCCTGGACTCAGACTTCGCCTTATGCCAGAAAGTGTTTTGCAGGACCAATGCAAAGTTAACCTGCGGAAGTGATGTAGGACCCAGAATTCAGGTCTCGTTTGGGGCAGCGTCGTCCTCTTATTTCTCCAGAACACACGCACGCAGCCTTGCCTTTTACCCAAACCTCCCCTCTGGGTTTTCTGGCAGGACTCTGCCGCTGGCTGTGGGCGTTAGGAAATGAGATCGGCAGAGGTAGGACCGGCAACCGCACCGACAGGTTTGCCTCTTCTAAAAACGGGAACAAAGGCCTCGAAAGGGAATGGTTGCTTGGAAACAGCTGGCGGATATGCTGGGAAACCTCCAAACACCGGGACTTGGAAAGTCTGGGTTGGAAGCCAGTACTGCTGGGAACCTAGCCCGAGCTGCAGGCTTGCTTCCATGTCTCTAAAAGCACCTCCGCCCACCTGTATTATGCCTGCACATTTGCAAATACAGAAGAGGCCGGGGGTTCTCTGGAGGTTTCTCCTCCACAAGACACAGAACCCTGTAGATCACAGGGGAGGCCCTCCAGAATGTCCCATCATAGAATTCACCACTCCTCCACACGCAGCTGCTGGAGTGACCTTGGGTCAGTCACAAGTTCTCTCAGGGCTGTTCTCTCAAGGGCAGTCCTCGAGAGGGCTCTCTGAATTAGAACATCTTCCCGTTTAGGTCCAAAAAGCCCCTGTGTGGCTATCAAGTCAGAGCTAGAGTGTCCTCAAGCAAATAGTAGTTAATATTGGCCCTTTGTTAGACTTTCTTCTCACCCTTTTGGGGTTTTTTTTTTTTGAGCCCCCGGAGGGGATTTTTTTTATTGATTTTTTTTAACACTACAAAAAACTACAACAGAAAAGGGGGAGGGCCCATCATCCCCTGGAACCAAAGTTTTCAAAGGCACAATTCAGAGTCCTTCAGCCTTTACTACTTCTTCTCTCTTTTCCGCAGTTTGTAGGGACTTTTTGGGGCTGCTGCCCCCTGCTCAGACTAAGAGTCCTCACCAGATGAACCAGTTTCCAGCTCGCTGCTGGACCTGCTGTCTTCTTTTTTCTCTTCCTCTGACCTTCCCAGCTGCTCCTTTAGAAATTCTTGAGCTTTAAGAACAGAGTCAATCTTAACCTTCTTCTCTTTGATCTTAAATGCTACTCCTTCTTGAAATAGCCATTTGTATCCAATTGAATTTGTTTGGAGGAAGAGAACAAGTTCGCCCTTTTGGTTCTTGATTCCAGTTTTTGGGTCAGGTTTGTCTTCCCCTCCCTGTGTCTTACTATAAATTCAATCTCTTCTTCATCAT